CTGCTGCTGCTGCTGCTGCTGCTCCTGGGGCATGAACTTATGAGGTCGACGCAACAGGTAAAGGGAGGAGGGAAGGAGTGGCAGGTGAGGAGCAGGAGGAGGCTGTCTGTGACACTGACAACCAGCGAACCACAACCGGAGGGAGGCTGGGAGTGGATGCCGGAGTATGGGTACCGGCCGAAGAAGATGAGATTACCCACCCGATCGACGGGCAGCAACAGCGACGGGAAGGGGCCCTGCTGCTCTTCTTTGCAGTGACCTGGCGGTGGCCGCAGATCAAGACGACGACGACGACCTGTTCCAGGATCGTGAAGGTCGCCCAGCACCGCAACGTCACAATCGATTGGTGGTACACTGTCCCATGAATTGAGAACATACCAGGAGAGAGATGAGACGTCAGCCAGGTCCCTTTTGCGTCACTCACCCGGGTAACAGTGTCAACCACCGAGCTTCCCGGAGCGTGCAGAAACAGTTACTTCTGCCCCCGTATCCAAAAGTAATTTCCCGCCTGAGGTACCCCAGTAAAGCACTCTGCAGTCCCAGGAATTATTTCACAACTTACAACCCAAATTTTTTAACAGTCGATTTCCGAGTTTGCAAGCCACTTCTGAATATCGGCGCTGTGTTTCCAGGATAGCTGCAACAGGCTTCAGAGTACACCCGCCACTAATTCCAGGTAGAATCTACAGTGGATCTCGTTGGCAGAAGCGTTTAAAACAGATTTCAGGATTCAAGGACATAAATGCTTTACCAACTAACCTGAATTTGCAGCCAACATGCGTTTGTTCAAAACCAGCTTACACAGAAGTTGACCTCACGGTTGTCTAGACCAAATTCCTTCACCGATTCATCGCATCCCTTCCGACTCTCAGCCCCATCTCTTCTCTTCTTTTCAAGACTCGCCCTATTTGCCATACAAATTTTCAAACTGGACAGTAGCGGTACGCAGGCATCCAATGCGTTTTGCTATGAGCTATGTTGCGAGTGCTTCCCTCGTAGGTGGGCCAGGAATAAGAGAGTTTGCTAAGGCGACAAGTTCTTGTTTGAATCGAATCCTGAACCCATCGCCTGCTTCCTTCAAGTTTCAATATCAGTTTGCAACGTGACGTCATCAGGAAACAGTAATACTTAGAAATTGCTTCCTATGTCGTCTAAATTACTTTATTACACTTAAATTACGGCTTTGAGCCTCCAGTTCTTCCTAGTCTGAAATCACAAAATTTGCCCAAATTTAAATGAGGGCAAAACCAAGTTAAAACGCGTCTTGGACCTGTTTGAGCAGTAACTGCTGAAGACGGTTTGGGCGATAAACGCCAGATGCAACCCTTTGGACACCATCAGACGTAGCGCTTTTGGTGTCCGAAAAACCTAGTCTGAAACTGCACTTGAAGATGACAAAAGGCTGTCTTCAGAGAGCACATAGAGAATGGCGTATTCGCAATATTCTGAAATGCTGATTTTTAGGCGCTCGTCTAAGCTAAGGCGCTACTAAAAAAAAAAAGGAAAAATGCATTAGTTGGCCCTCCAGTAAACTAAATTGGCCATAGCGTCCGATCTCTGGCCAGTAATGGGCTGGGAATTTCATAGAAGGATGCTGGCGCATGACAATGTGTCAACAGAGGCTGTAACTTTACTGTACAAACAATTTCAAATTCACAGTGAAAGAAATGTACATAAAACTGAAGCACTCGCTGAGAAAAGCAACAAGCACGTGCAGGTGCTATGCGCCCGTAAAACAGTATGCGGTAGGGCAATAAGATTGCTTCCTATCCAAAACGGAGCTACAGCAGCGCGTGACTTCATCAACAGCCGCAAATACATGTAGTAAATGTTGATTATCACTCATCGAGAACAGAAAATCAAAATAGAACCTTTAGTAAAACAAAAACTAAAATAAAATACCTGAGCTCAGGCGCGGCACACGCATCTTCTGGAACCAGGAAAGACCTTTCCCCTCTCAAAACTTTTTTCCGGTTAAACTATTCTCTGTGCGTAAAAGCTCGCAGTGTTATGCAGTTAATTTTATGCCAATACTCCACTAATTCGTCATAATTCGTCATGATGCACTTGTGGGAGATGACATTTTTATGCGTTTTTGCTTACATGCAAATGCAAAAACGCATATTGTAACGACCCCAGTGTATGTGTGTGTGTGTGTGTGTGTGTGCGTCCGTCCGGATATTTCAACTCGGCACCCAAGCAAACTCCGGCGCCAAAATTTTGCTAATGGGTTCTCTGGCCAAATGCCACCGCAGGATGTATCAACCCTCACGCAAGTCTGGGCCCGCGCACAAGGGGGTGAAAGTTTTGTCGGGAAAATCGCTAACTCGGGAACCAGAAAAGCTAGAAAGCTGAAATTTTAAGGTTATGCCCCCCGTCTCCATGGAACTCAAAGATTTCAGATTCTGTCCCCAGGCATGCATGGTTCCCGCGTATGGCCCCGTGACAGTTTCTGGCGCGAAAATTGCTAACTTAGGAACCGGGAAAGCTGAGCAGCTGTAATTTTCAGGGAATGTTCCCAGCATATGTACAACTTAAATTTGACAAAGTCAGCCTTCAGGCAACCGTGGTTACCATGTACGGCCCCGTGAATTTTTTGGCGCTAAAATGGCTAACTCAGGAACCAAGAAAGATGGAAGGCTGAAATTTTCAGAGAATGTTCCCTACACAAATGCAATTTAAAGTTATCAAAT